TACTGGTTTTTAGGATTTCAAAATGTTTACGTTTTTATTAATAATGTTTTCAGAGAATTATGAACAAAATATGTATTGGAAAAATGTGTTATATTTGTTATTCTATATAACCAGTATATGCAAAGTTAAGTTTTTGATTTAAATGACATGTTACAGATCATGTTATTGAAAAAATACATCAAGTACCTTGTAGACTAGAAATAATTTATGTTTCTAAAACAATGTAAAAATTTGTACAATTAATTAAATATAATACAATATAACGAAGAATATCGAGATTGTTGGACAATAAACTTTTAATTTATCATTCTTACTAATTTTTAATATATTTACAGTCTTTTTGTCCATGTTATACAATTTACTAAAGCTTCTTACTCATGTTATCTATATTGATATCTTAATTGTATGATCTTTAATTGTTAAAACACTGAAAGTATAGAATATGTTATGCATGGAAATAAGTATATTTTATAACACCTTATGTAACATGTACATGTTACTTTTATTTATGAAATTTATAGTAATTATGCAATACTTTGTTATATTCCAATCATAAAAAAATACATTTATTCTAAGGTAATATTACGCAAATTTCATTTAATCTAATGTAAATCTTATTTATAATGAACTTTTTTAATCTAATTTTATAATAAGGCACATTGATTTCGAGAAGAAATATTAATTGAGTATTTATATGACATTTTATTGATTTGAATTTTAAAATATCCCATAAAATTATAAAATAATGTATTGCCAACGTTAAAGTCATACTAAATATAACGTTTAAATTGAAAAAATATTATCCAAAAGATGTGCATGATTACAATGTAATGATTAATAGATAATTGTTTTACAATAATTTAAAATATATATTTTTTTTAAATTATATATTTCGTTTTTAATATTAATATATTGCGAACACAGACAGAAGTTATTTCTAAAAGTACAGCCTATTACAGTTGTTATTTATATTGATTCTTTTCAGAAACACATATTAAATTAAATCACTAAGTTAAGAAAGAGTTACTACTTCTAAAAGTAACGTGTTTTTTTAATAATACAGTCCAATTACTCAATTGTAATTAATATACTTTAATACATACATAATGATA